AAAATGAAAATAAATAAATTTTATTTTCTAGGCATAAGAGAACATGCTTTCTGGGAATGAGCTGTCCAAAGAAGCTTCGTGGCTCTACCTAAAATCTGATTTTGGATTTTTTTTCTCCTCATCTAAATAATAATACAGCAGTGAACGAAGACTGACTGAAAAGACTGGTCATTGGATCAAAGGACCTTTCATCTATGGATGTAAAGCAAGCACCTACTCTGGATTCCTTTAAGAGACATTTGGATGTTTATCTTGCTAGGATCCTTTGACCCCAGCTAACTTCCTGCCCCTGGGGCAGGAGGCTGGACTGTATGATCTTCCAAGGTCCCTTCCAACCCTAATGTTTATGAAATCTATGAAATCTCTCACTTGTTTTGGGCGTGATTCTGCACAGCTTATAAGTACCTGTATCACATTTAGTTACATGAAGCCAGTGAAAGTTAACCACAAGCTTACAGCTAAGTATATGTTTAAATGCTTTCTTAACCAGGGGTGAACTTAGCTTGCGCCATATTGTGGTCATTGGAGCTAGCTTTTGGTGAGTGACCAAAGAGGTTTCCCTGCAGTTTCCCTTAGCTGTGGTCACCCACTTACTCTCAGACACCTCAGTGGTAAATGCCATATAGATAGGTTCTATACCTATCTGAGAATGCAGAGCTGAACCTATCTGGTTCTCAGCTCAGAGAAAGCTGCTCCACTCAGGGAAATGCTGCAGTATTCCTTTGATACAATGCAAGCCAAGCACAATAAAATAAATAAATACATAAAATAAGAAAGGAGGAAATCCATAACAAATAGATATGATTTAATTGGTAACATTTGTGACAATAGTTTATTACTCTGTGCCACATGCAGATTTCATCTCTTCATTGCGCACTCTGTCAATTTAATTTGCCTTTATGCTGTTGTATTATCTCAAATGATCAAACACCTATGTTGCCCTGGAAAGTACACCAATTAAGACCCACATTTAAATCTGCTTGAATGTGTCTGTCATAAACTTAATTAGAATAAACACATTTGTAATATGACATTGTTTGGATTCCATTTAAAATCAGAGCATCACCTTTTCACAAACTTTCTTTTTATTGGTTTATTGTTTTTCTTCTCTTTCTTTTTATTGATTTTAGCAGTGATGAAAGATACCAGACTGAGAGCCCTACATATTGGATTCCTTCAAAACACATAGCCAATATACTACGCGGCTAAATCAACCCCTCCGTGCTTCATATTATGTCATTAGATCATTAGAAAGGCAGACCTACGTCATGGCTGTGAAACCTGGATCTAATTCATACCTTCTAAAAAAGCAGAGAGTTGGTGGACTCTAAAGAAAATGGGGTCACTGTTTAATGTAATGAAAGAAAAAAAAGGTAGGTTATCAACTGTGCAAAGGCCAAGAAGAGTTTATGGCAAGTAGGAAATTCATTGATTTCCTTAACCATGTCCACTGACCAAACTAGAAATAAACTAAGAGGTAATCAAACTAGGAACAGTTGTATATTAGAAAATACATGTGCATGTAAGAAAATATGTATCCACTGCACACCGCTGGACACTGTATAGGCTCACAACCAATCACTAATGGAAGCTGAATATTTCAATAACTAGACTGTTCACAAAGTGAATTACGTCGTGACTGAAAATAAATACCTGATCCTTTTACAGTAATTTTTGTGTGTGTGGTATGTGAGAGAAGACAACAGGCTATATCCTTAGTCTGATATTTTTTAAAGTGCTTGATACCTGGTAATAATTCAGAGTACTTTAACCTAGAATGCATTTGGACCCAGAATTATTACCATATATCAAGCAATTTTAAAAACAGTTACACTAGGAAGTAACCTGTGGACCTTAATCAGGGACAAATTTGGTCCTAATGGCTTAAACATTTTCCTCTAAATGATGGGCCTTGCCTTTATGGAGACATGACATTAAAATATACCATTTGAGTCAGGAAAACCTCAGGCTTCCTCAGTGGTCATATATATTGGGGCATGTATATGTAAGCTGCCATATGTAAGCGATATGAAGATTTCATGGATAGTTAGCTCATTTAAAGGCCACTTAAAAAATCCATAGCAGCTCCATTGAATTCATAAAGTGTATTCTTCTGCAACCTTACTAATGTAATAATTCTTTCTTCATCTTAGAGAAACATTTAATGCCAAGCTAATAAAATATGCTATGTTCAGTCAGATCTTATTGTCTTTTGTTAAGATTGCAAGAATTAATATAGTTTTGCCTGTTAGACTTATTATTTTCCATTAGATTTGTCATACCAGATTTGTTCATTGGTCCACCAGGCCTTGTATCCTGCCTCCAGCAATGGCCAATAATTAATAATTCACAAGAAAGCTTAATTCTTGAATTCCATCTCACTCTGGCATATGTGATAAATTTAGACAATTATGAAATATAATATATGGAAGAAAAATTCCTTCTGACCTATGCAGACAATTAATTTATGCCCTGAAGCTTGGCATCTGATTACCCTTATCTATCAGGCATAACTACAAACATTGTTATCAGAGAATTATCCAGGATTACAAGAGCATTATCATATCTCTGATTATGATAAGAGAACAATAAAGCATACAAAATCCTCCACAGTAATCTGGATGAATTAGATTTCAGTAGTAAGAGCTTAATATAGGAACATGTTCTTCTGCCCCCAATGGCTTGTAAATATGTAGGCTCTAATAACTAATTACCTTTGTTTTTCAAGAGATTATTTTTCTGGGATTCTGTCAACAGAGATTTTCTTTTGGACGTGGTCCTGGCTTCTCAGATACATTTCAGCTCACCGTTTCCAGGATCTCAGTAAATGCCTTCAGGAAGGGCTGTTCTAAGCAATGCATCTCCCTCAGCCTGAAATAATTAACTTCTACAAATGTGGAAAATACCTGTTTTCCTGTGGTTTTTGGACTTTTCAAATCCTACCATCATGAGAGTCAGCAAAAGTCCAATCAAACAGCGTTTCAACCGGCTCTTTCACATTATATATGCATTGGAATCCTTTTCCAGTTTGTAAATAATGGAGAAAACAATTATTCACCAGTGAACTAATTGCTCTTTAGTTAGTATTCTGTGCTGTCTCCTGATAGAACTGGGTTCGTGTCCTGTGCTGGGCTCTCATTCCTGGCATATTAACTGCTAGCGAAGCATCGTCTATGGTGTGAGGGGAAAAGAAATGGACACTTTCTATGTCACCCTATAGCATCCCTTGCTGATTTACTGTAAATCAACATTTAACTTTCCTCAGCCAAAATGAATGTTTCCAGTATACATGTGCTCTTAGAAGATGGGGGCAGGGGAGGGGATATAAACACTAGAAAAATAGGAAATTTTAGGATTTCCAGGAGTCATACAAAGAACTCACAGAGGGAGTTCAAATAGCTCTCCTCAAAGCATAATGGATCCAATGAGCCTTCACACCCCTTCCAAAATGGTATCCCTGTTTTCTTCTCTGTTATGTGTGGGATATGTCTTTAGGTACCAAGTCAAGCCTCCAGTTTTGTACAGAAAATTATGCATGTATTCACGTATGTTTTCAAGCACTCCTGCAAAGATTTAATTGATGAAGAATAGAAGGTGATGAATAGAAACTGATTAACAGAAGTTTCCAACATGCACATCCGAATGGAGATTTGTGGCTGAGCAGGTATTTGTCAATCTGTTTGTTCCTCAGTTTCCTTACCCCTTACGTGGGGTTTACACTTAATACTTATGTACCACACTGACGTATTGTGAATATCAAGTCACTACACTTGTAAAGTACTTTAAGAACCTTGATGGATAATGCTGAACAAGTACAGCACCAGATATATTGATAAATTTGAGTGGCAATTCACCTTCAGCCTTAATAGTGTTTAGTGAAGGAGTAACTCTTCAACAATAATATCAAATGCTGCAGGCTCAGAGGTAAGCAAGATCATCAAAGTACTTGATTTACCACTGGTTTCCAACCATGCTGCTGCTTACAGCTTAGAAATAGAGATCATTTCCTTCTCTACATGACAGCAGAATATAAACCATGGCACTGTACATCACAAAAAAGTAGATGTAACATTATGCTCAGTTGGAGAGTTCCACTTCATTGTATGTCCCCATTAACTGAGGGATTGAGGTCATAATGGTTCATTTTATTACAGTAAGTACTTAAAAGAACTAAGTCCAAACATGGAAACTATACAGGTTTTGATCTTATAAAAGGACTGTTGCTTGTGCTTAGATATAGCAAATACATATGAGGTTCCCTTATGACACTAATTTTGCCAGCTCTTATATATTGATTGAAGGAAGAATTTTATTAAAGTACCTGTCAAAATTCAGTGAGGAAATTCAGAAATTATTCCTGGCCTTTCTGTCTAGACAACTGTCAGTGCACTGAGCTTAAAGAGTTTTTGAGGGGGGAAACACTGAACAAAGTATTTGCACACTGCTTTATTTATTCTAAGGTTTTATATTGCCATTCATGAGCATGGTATCTGAGTGCTTTCCAAATGAAATCAACCCCTAGTAGACTTTATGGGGCTTCTGACATGTCTTGCTTTTTGGGAGCTGTCCTCTGTCCTTTTTGCTGGAGAGCTCTTTTTTTTTTTTATTACAGTCATAGATTTCATAGTCATCCATCTAAGATTTTGGGGATTTGCAAACTGAGACCCAGCCTATCCTGTGCAAAACAGCCCAGAGCAGACAGAACTGAGCTCTGGAACCCACGGAGTTTGCTTGAGATGTTTCTAGAAGACACTTCTTCCAACGGCCCAGAACTAGACTTACAATTAGTTACCTTGAAACATTTTGACTGTTTCACTTCTGATCCCATTGAAACCTGAAAGTGCAGAAGTACCTGCATAAATAAAGAAAAAAATGGTGCAATAAAATGGAAACTGGGCCTTTAAGCTATTTCTTTTTGGTTGCAGACCTGGCAATAGTTATTGTTTTAGCATAGCTGCTTTTTTCTCCCTGAATTAGTTTGTCCATCTCCAGAAACATACCTTTATTGATGCTGTGCTTTGCAGGTTGAATCCCTCTTCATTCATGTTATTCCTGTGAAAGGGAGAAAATACAATTATTCACAAATCCAGATAAAGTTGTGGGTTTTTTTCTTAAGCCCTGCTCCAAAACCCTTTTGAGTCAGTAGTGTCCTTTCAACTCAATGGGTTTTGAAGGAAAACCTTAGACCTGGATTAATTCACTAAACATATGGATCTTCCAAAGGGCTTTTAAGTAAGAGGAAATATCTAATTAATGGGAGAGAAGAGCAATTTATTTATTGGCCTTATCCAGTCAAAGGCCAAGAACATCCTACTTTCATTGATTTCAGAAGCACCTCAGCACCACGTTGAATCTGCCTTTTTAGCATGAGTCTTCACACGAGATGCAAGCTTTGTTTTAGAAATGTTTTACTAGAAGTTGACTGCTAATGATTTTCAAGTAAAAGTATTATTCCAGTATTTTGGAACTCTGGGAAAGAATAACATTGCCCTTCATTCTAGATATATCTTTGAATATTTCACATCAATGTTTTGTGGGCTTTTTAAAATCTTTTTTGCTTCAGACAACACGGGAGCAACCAACCTTCTAATCCCTTCCCTAAAGGAGATTAATTATTTCCATTGTTAAGTAACAGGCTTTTCTTGTAATAAAAAGAAATTAAAAGGTATTCACTAGTGGCATCACCCTAGTCAATAAAGTAATTAGGGTCGTGTCAAATGGAAGAGCCAAAAAGTGATTTCAGGACCAAGATTCAGAAAAAAAAACATAGTCATGTAATGTTGCCTTTTGTTAGAGAAGGAAAGAAGGGTCTGAACCTGATTTATTTTTCAAGTAGTGCTGTTTCATGTCGAGAAATAAATGTTCCTAGCTTACACTGAAAACAATGCCTTGCATCTGTGTAGCTCAAATTATTTTACCCAAATTTAAACTGGTGCTTCATTACCATTTCTTTGTTAAGTTTCTGTAGACTTGCTACATGCTGTGAGGAAGTGCCTTGAAGGAAAGAAATGTGGGGGTAATCAGTGGGAAAAAAATAACTTTGATTAATTTAAATCTGATTCCAAATTATTTTTAACTATTTGATTAAGGTTTTTTTTTATTATTTTGAATGTTTCCAAATTGTAACATAACATTTTAATGGTACAACCATTTTTAGTACTTTTTCTTTAAAAAATATTTTTGATAATATATTTTCAATTAGCCAAAACAGTAGCATGACAACAAAATCATGCAAGATGCTTTACAATAAGTAACCTTGCAATGCCCCTCTAAAATAGAAAAATATTATTAATCCCACTTGCACATAATGAAATGACAACAAAGAACAGTGCACTATCTAGCCTTACATCAAATCACAGAAGTCACTGGCAAAATACTGCTTTTTTTGTTTTTTCTCCTCCAAATGCCACTCAACATTTTACTATTAATTTACTCTTCAAGCCGCATAATCTTGGAAGCTCCAAGAAGACTCTAAAACATTACTGGGTATGCAATAGAGAAAAGAATATCCCGATGAACCTTAGGTTTAGGATCTGACAATATAATTAAAAATCATTCTTTCTAATACCCAATGTGCAAATAAAGGAAATAATTCTCAAAGTCTAATTCTTCTATTCTTATTTCTGATGTCTTTATCCGTCTAAATCCTCAGAGGCTCACAAAGATTGAAAACATCTCAAATGCAAGCCAAAGTAGTGAGAATCCTGGATAAGATTTTTCTATATAATTGAGTTATAAACAACAACTATAGAGACACCCACATATCGTGCCTACATAAGAGTTTGTCTTAAAAGTTCTGTGCAGCATTTACATGAATTTGCTTCTTTGGCTCCACAGCTGAAGATTCGACAGGACATTTTTGGGCATTTAGGTCTTCAAGGAAAATTTTACAAGGAAAATGTAGGTTTAAGCTGAGAGCTACTAGAATTTCAGACAAGTGACATGGGCAAACACTACATTTGAAATCCCATTGGGTATTCAACTCTCATGTGAGCCCACAGATGACACTTAAGTGTCTGGCTGCATCTGTCTGAACTTTTGAAAAAAATCTTAATATTCAATATATTGTTTAATCCCCTTAGGCCAAAAGAGACAATATAAAACACTCTTCAAGTGCAAGCACACTAACCATTAAGCAAAGAATCAGGTTCACTCTTCCTTCCTCTTTTTCTCTAGCCCAATGAATCTTGAATTCCATTATTACCTACCGAGATAGCTTCAGAAAAAGAGCTTGAGAGTCTCCAACCCCAATCTCCACTCCTATAGCTTGGTGCTTAGGGTATTCTCCAGAAACATGGAACCTGTGGGTTCATATCTCTAAAGGCAGAGAAGGGAACTCAACCTAGATCACTGTCTTCCCGCATGAGTGCTCTAAACACTCAGTCTAAGAGGGAGTGAGCACCACCTCCGGCATATGTGTTTTTCATTTGTTTCTGAAAGGAAAGTCTTTGGACAGGGTTCCAGGCTGGGGTTCCAGGCTGTAAATCTCAAAGTGGAGAGACATGCTTACCTACTTCCCAGCACTAATGAACCCGAGCCCTGAAAAGGGTTGGGTTTCAAAATATACCCTTGTCCTCAGCATTTTCTTCTACAGATTAAAAGCTAAGTTTCTACAAATTGAGTTAAAGGACTAGCTCCCAGGATGTAGAGCTGTTACAGGATCATAACATAAGGGGTCTGGGCACAGAGATAGACACACAACTGCTTATGGTTATTATTATTTGTATTACACTACCAACCAGAGGCTTCAGACAAGTATCCAGGTCCCATTGTGCTAAGCACTACACAAACATAGACTAAATCACAGTTTCAGTCCTGCACAGCTAGACTGTCTAAATACAAGATAACAAGAAGAATAAACAAAGGAAAGCATGAACTTAGTGACATACACATGGTTGAATTTTGACTTAGGGTAGGTCAGGACCCAAAAAAATTAATGCCAGTCTGGATCTGGGGTTGCTCTGCAGGATATGGAACCTCTTGGTAAGCTTGTCGCCCTGTGAGTTTTCTGTGCTTCCAGATGTTACAGTGCAGGTTTCACATAGAGATGATTGAACCCCTTCACCCTGATGTACTGAAGCGTTGGTACTTTCCAGCACAATTTGTCTGTGATACCATGCTGGAGTGTAGAGCCAGGTCTATTGTTTGGTTTATGCTGTTTCTTGTCACTGCTATTGCTAAGGTTAATTGTATTCCCTGTGCTGATGCACAGTACTATCTATATATAAAACTCATTCTGAAAATTGTTTTTTAACCATCAAAATGTCCAAACAACAAAGCAGCAATCTTACTGGAATATAAATAGACACCTGCTGAAGCCCACCCATGAAATAGAGGATCCACAGTGAAGGAAGAAACCCCATACCCTTCCAGATGAGTTCATTCTGGCATCTTGTTATTATTGTCTAGAGTCCAAAGGAGACAAAAGAAACACTGAATTGTCCAAACTGGAGCTTCCTCTATTACCAACCATATGAAAGACTCAGGAGAGTGGGAGGCCTGTTGAGAAGGGTATACATTGCATAACTTTTATTTGTATTATCTGTGCAACATGGGAAAGCCTGCAAGATTCCTGTCTCCCACACTCTTGAACCTTTAATACTTGGTGAATGAATCAGAAGGTATATCTGTATTTTTGAGGTGATCTCAAGATTGCCACCAAGAAATAGGCCCCATCCACTCACTCCACTTTCACATGCTTCTGACCATAGTGTCTTGTGGTTACCAGTAAAGTGATGTCAGATATGCCCAGCACCACCTTTGAAAGCACACTCAAGACAGAGCTGGAGTGTCCCTGACCTTATTCTAAAAAGTGAGCACAGCATTTGTCTGCAAGCAGCACATGTGGAATGGGAGTGAGTGGTTGAGTCTTCGTTCTTCCCAGTGATTCTGGGATGAAAATAGAAAAGATACAGACCTACACAGACACATACTGCTTGCACTGTTTACTCCCAGGGTAAGACTATGCATGCCAAAAGGAGAGAGAGGGAGGGAAAGAATCTAAAGGAACTCATTCTGCACCACCTTAAGTGATACAATAGCTGTGCCCTTTGCTCTAGGAGTCTCTGAAAGGCATTGTACCTCACTAAAACATATCGAGCATGTCTACATGAGCACTTTAATGTGCATTAGCCTATTTTAATGTGCATTAAAGCATCATTAAAAAACCGTGGGTGCCTGTGCATGAGCACAGAGGCTGCTCCGATGTGCTGTAATTACAGTACATCGGAGCAGACTCAAACATAGTAATTACCATGCTCCAGCAAGGCTCCTGTGTTTCATGTATCAGCGTTCCCATGCTTCAAAATGGCAGTGGAGGCACTTTAATTCAAGCACCGCTGCTGCCATTTTGAAGCATGGGGATGCTGATATACAAGATGCTTCGGCGCTTCAATTAGAATGGCTCTTGGAGCCGCTCTAAGTAAAGTGCCACTCACCACCCCTGATCCCAAGCACATGTAAAAGTGCCCCATGAGGATAGGTGGAGGAAGAAACTATTATTTGGGGGGGATGAGTAAAACTTAAAAGATACTTCTACACACACAGACACACACATGCAGACAGACAGAAACAGACACACACACAGAGGCAGACAAACACACACACCGCCCAGCAGGTAAGTATGTAGTGGCGAAGGGACACGGTGGGGCAGATGGAGACCCCCACAATGAGGGAGGGAGTGGGGCAGAGGCAGGGGCACAAGCTGGGGTGAATGGGGCCCCAGGACAGGTTGTGGGAGGGTCAAAGCCCGGACGGCTCATCCAGGACTGCAGGGGCTCCTGCTGCTGTGCATACCCCTGGGGCAGAGATGGGGGGCATGTGCCCCCAGATCTGTGCATGGGGCAGAGGCAGCCTGCCCACTATGGGCTGGGGCTCTGCGCCCTATTGCTAGTGCCCTTGCAGCCACACATTGCCAGGCAACCAGTGTGCAGGAGGCACATGGCATCATAAAGATACCAAGGCACGAGCAGCTCTGCCTCCACCCCACACACAGATCAGGGGGGCACATGCTACCTGTACCTGCCCTGGGGGTGTGCACCACAGCAAGAGCCCCCTG